TCTCAGAAAAAAGATATCTTCCGTCTCTTGTATTCGGAGTCGTTTAAGATTTAACAATTTTTTACCTGAAAATAAGCTTGCCACACAATCGAAAATGACTCTAAAACTATTCATTTTATAAAATTCTATGGGATTCTTTTGTTAGAAATGCATTTCATTAGGTCATAATGTTGAAAATTTATAAAATCATTTGGAAATACATTTAATTACGTCATTTAGGGATTTTAATTTTTTTAATGACGTATTAACATTTATTTTTATTAGCATAAAAAAGAGATAGTTATGCATTCACGAAAATGGTAATCATGCTTTCTAAGTTTTATTAACTTTTTTATTGTTAACTGTTTTCTTTTTCAATTTCTGTGCTGGCTAAATTTTTATTTTGTCTACCTCCTGCACCGACTGAATGATAAGAAATAATGAATAAATAACTTATAATTACTTGTTGTAGCTAATTTATAGGCAATATTATTCTATAGATTATAGAAATAAATAAAAGTCTACTTGAATAAAAAACAAAACTTATGGGAATAATACATGTCGAATTTATCTCCAATTATTTATGTTTTTCACAAAATAAAACGATTTAGTGCATTTTTTTTGTAGTATTAAAAGTGCGTGAGAAAATCGTATAAAGGACCCCGAAATCTATTTAAAAATTGATCATACTGTACTATTTAGAATGTGTCCAAAAATTTGCCTACCGTTTTACAGAATGAGACCTCTTATTTTTGCAAATATTCGAAAATATAACATTAACGTCTTGTATCTTGAAAACAATAGATGATAACCGCGTAGTTTCCAGGAAAAAATGTTCTTCTGATGTTCAAACAATTTTTGAAACACCCCCACTTTAAATAAATATAAAAATATAAAAATTAATTCTTCTTGTGAAACGCATTAAGAATTATTTTTTATTAGATATCATTTTTTTTTATTTTGAAAGGTATTAAGTTAATTTAAATCAAATCAAAACCTAACCTAACCTAATATTCCTAAAATTCTCAACTGATGAAATCATATATTATATTCTCTAAAAAGCAACTTCAAACATAAACGATAAATATTCAGCTATCAATTCCAATTTTAAAAAGAAGGTTATTTGAAAAAGCATTCCTTAAAATGCAAAAATAGGTAAGTTTATTTATTGTGGTTCATTATGCGAGTAGTATATCTTTTTCAAAGAGGTGGTGTCAGAAACAAGAAAATAGTTAAAATTCACATTTTCTTATTAAATTTGGATGCCTCTATAATTATTGCAGCGAAGCCTCATGCCAGACATAAGTATAAATATAAGCGTTAACTAAAAGCAAAAATGCTTCATTTAATAATGATACCTAACATTTGTAATAAAGCTAGATATTTCATACAATATTTGACAACTGTAACATTAAATTATTTAACATTCCCGGAGGCCATGACTGGGCGGCCACCTTATGACCTCTTTGTTACCATAACAACCGTTAATTAGTGCCGTGGATGTTCTGCACCAAACTGTCATAGGCGGTGTTATTCGGTTATTTTTTTTTAAATACAACGCATAGAAGACACTGAAACGAATCAAATTGACGATGAAATTGAAAATGTCATCTCCAAAAATACAGTGTAGACGCATTAGTCAATTTGGAACATAATTCCTTGCATTCTGTGATAAAAAAATTATACCATAGATGAAACAAAATCAGCAGAATAGTTTTCAAACGTTATAAAAGATTATTTTTTTAATATGAAAAAACTGACGATAACAGGTTATGAAGAAGTGGTTTTCAATACGTGGAATATTACATCAAAACAGATATAACAATTACATTACGAAACCTAGAAAGAAATTACTTTCCATGCAGTAATAAATGCCAACGATGCTAGACGGAAATTATTATAAAGTCACATGACTAAGCAAAAGAAAAGTTCCAACGCATTTACTCCAAAAAAATACCAAGCTGTAATAAATTTAATGATGATACGGGGGTGTATCTATAGAAAAACTTTTACCAAATTACTCCAGTTGAACTCGCATAGAGAGACTGAGAAGCAACAAATTGTATGCTATAATACTTCAAAGAACAAACAAAGACATTGAGACAAGTAAAGAAAATCGATAGGTCGAGGGTCTTCCTAATATTTACAAATTATTTACAACTTGGTGGGGGAAAAATAGATAGTAAGAAACTTAAGCAAAACAAAGCCAATTAAGATATGTGCTTTATGGAAAATTAATTTCTAGAAGAATAAATAACATTAACTACAAAAAACCAGCTCTCAATTTGCATAAACTTTTTGTCTATGACTTAGTGACCCAAAGCACGTAGTCTTCGGGTCAAAATTACATTGTTGGTAACCTTAGCAATCTTTCGCAACATGGTATTGAAAAACAAGAACTAATAAACATTGCAGGAAATTGTAACTTAAGTTCGATTGCATCATACTTAACAATTAAATTTCGATTAATATTCAAGTATTATTGAAATTGAAAATGTGANATTAGTCAATTTGGAACATAATTCCTTGCATTTTGTGATAAAAAAATTATACCATAGATGAAACAAAATCAGCAGAATAGTTTTCAAACGTTATAAAAGATTATTTTTTTAATATGAAAAAACTGACGATAACAGGTTATGAAGAAGTGGTTTTCAATACGTGGAATATTACATCAAAACAGATATAACAATTACATTACGAAACCTAGAAAGAAATTACTTTCCATGCAGTAATAAATGCCAACGATGCTAGACGGAAATTATTATAAAGTGACATGACTAAGCAAAAGAAAAGTTCCAACGCATTTACTCCAAAAAAATACCAAGCTGTAATAAATTTAATGATGATACGGGGGTGTATCTATAGAAAAACTTTTACCAAATTACTCCAGTTGAACTCGCATAGAGAGACTGAGAAGCAACAAATTGTATGCTATAATACTTCAAAGAACAAACAAAGACATTGAGACAAGTAAAGAAAATCGATAGGTCGAGGGTCTTCCTAATATTTAAACTTTTTGTCTATGACTTAGTGACCCAAAGCACGTAGTCTTCGGGTCAAAATTACATTGTTGGTAACCCTAGCAATCTTTCGCAACATGGTATTGAAAAACAAGAACTAATAAACTTTGCAGGAAATTGTAACTTAAGTTCGATTGCATCATACTTAACAATTAAATTTCGATTAATATTCAAGTATTATTGAAATTGAAAATGTGAACCATTCATAATAATATTAATTGTACAGCAAAAATAGAAAACATTGTCTCAACCTCAACTTCGGTAAGCAGAAGTACACTTCGACCAATCGAGAAAAAGAAAAAACATTAAATTCGTTTTTTAAGTTTTACTCGCAAATCGGCTTTTTTCGAAAAACATAAGAGAGTGGTAATTTGTAGAAAATTAAAAGACGAATCGGATAATATCATGATTGTTACCGTAAAGCAGTGGCGTACTATTTATTTGGAAAAATATGCTACCGATTCCGTGTATCTCCGCCACTGAAGCATCTACATTTTAGAAAAAGGCTTCAGACTTTGGACAATGTTTACATAAATACATGTGCCCAATTTCAAATTATTTCACTAACTAGTTTTAAAATTATTAAAAAAAATTAAAATATTCTTTTAAGTTTAACACCCTGTATCTTTTTAATGAAGCGTCCTAGATAAAATCTTTATAAGAAAGACTCCTCTTAAAATTCACCAAAGAATACGAAGTTTCATTTTTGGTCACCGTTTGTAAATCACACTGTATAAAAAAACAAAATTAGTATTTTTGATTTTGGAAATAATCTTATAACGGGTCCCTCACCTACAAGGGGAGGGGGGAGGTACTAACTTTAGCATCAATATATTTCCTCCCCGTAGACTGCTTATTTCTCGAGAAATGTGAAAGTTTCAGGTTAAAAAAAATCATCTGGTATATCACTCGACTACCGAGTTTGGCACACAGTTTTCACAAATAATTTTTTTACAAAATTATTTAAAAAAAAAATCAACAATAAATTGACGAAAAAATCCCTACCGAAGATAGATATTTTTTTGAATCCAAGCAAAAAAATAATTTATGTAAATTTTACTCGACAATCTTTTTTGATTAATTGATTGTTAATTATATTGGTGATATATAAAATATTTGATAGATATAATTCAATACTGAACAGAGCTTTAATCCACAGTGTAGTTGTTTTCCATAATATAATTAGCCTCTTTTTCCATTTGTGGGATCACACCTTATAGACAAATGAAATAGTTCCAACAACTCACTTCTCGTTGCTATAGTCTTTTAGATCTCAATTGAAGACCAAAAAGCTAGGCAGTATGTACCAGGTTCAGTCGCTACACAGCAACTAGGCATTGAAATATTTGAAAAACTTGTTCCCATATTTATTTAGCCATACCCATATACAGGTCTGGTCGAACTAAACGTGCAGGTGGTATACGACCAGTTGAAGAATGCCCTCGCGAGCTTACGCCGCACAAACAGCCGCACTGGGCGAGTGGGCCATAAATTTCAGTTGTTGACAAATTGCCTAGCAGTGCAGTGCAGCAATGCGGAATTATTTAAATGTTGATTATTTAAATTTTATTGTTAGGCATTTTTATACATGTTCAACTGACTTCGGAGATACTATACGCTTCAAATTCTATGAAAACTGTTGAATATTCGAACACATTCTAAGAAATTCATGAATTTATTTAACAACAACAAGATCAATTACGTTCATTCTTCATGAATTTATTTCATATGAATTAATCCATTAATAAATTGTCATTGGAAAACAAGTTATAATTTTATTCGATACTGTACCACAAATAAAATATAACGTCTTGTAAATAACTAGATACTATATCGAGTAGTTTCCTGCTTATGTCGTAAAAGCCGTATTTTAATGCTTCGGAAATTGAGATATTTTGTTTTCGCATCGTGCTTGCGTACTTATTTGCTGAATTATGTAGCTGATTGCGATGCACTTAAGCGGTAAAGTGGCAAAATTTAATTAATCCCTAATTTAAGTCCTTGTTTCAGAAATCGGCAGCGGTCCATCTGCAGAGGCACTGCAGCAGCACGAGATCGGAACGGATATACATGGACTGGATTTGGTGGATCCTCCAGGGGCTGCCCTTCCAACACTTGGTCAGGGTGATAGATTGTTTCTTCCATGAAGGCATCAAGGTGAGTACAAATTTAAATATAATCAAGACGTTATACTTGTAGGATGTCCCACTTGAGATAGATTTTTGCTTAGCTGTTGTGAATATCAATATCTCAAAAAAGTATCCCAAACAAAAGCGCATCAAATTAATTGCACAGGTTTAAATTATTTTGGTCTTAACATACTGTAGATTGAAAAGGAGCAAAAGATTAACCGATTTTGGACATTCTTAACGAAAAACCCTGTTTATAATGAATCACAAATATAAACTATTTCAAAGTCAAAAAAGAAGGATCTTGAGAAAATCAGCTGGTTATTAATAANAAGGAGCAAAAGATTAACCTATTTTGGACATTCTTAACGAAAAACCCTGTTTATAATAAATCACGAATATAAACTATTTCAAAGTCAAAAAAGAAGGATCTTGAGAAAATCAGCTGGTTATTAATAATTTTTTTTATAGTAGTTTTTCTGACATGCTCGAGTTTGCAGACATTTTCAACGGCTCATCTTTTGTCAGAGAATTTTACTTTCACGTTTCATTTGATGTTTTTAAGCTATTCAATTAAAAAAAACACTATATAAATTTTTCATCTCATCGAAACGACGTGTTTCGGAAAAATTAGAGGGAAAACGCTCCAAAATCGAAAAAAGTCCCAGAGGAAAAAGATGTCAGACTAGGGCTAATGAAGCTATATAAGAAGTTTGGAAAGAGTATGTATTAGGGTTTCTGGTCGAGACTTCTCGAAGCGAGAATTCCCGGGAAATCTGGCCTTACTCGAGACGAGAAAAAAGTGTCGAGAAATCGAGAAATTTAAAAATCACACGCGTCTTAAGTTCTTGACTGGAGTTCGTTTCGTTCATGCGTTCAATTCGTTTCTCGACAAATAACTGAGTGGTTAAAGTGGTTTCTCTACCAGCTCATGATTTATTTATTTTTAAGTTTTTAAGGCTTTAGTTTACTTTGATGATTTTTTTTTCAATGTACAGGGTGATTCACTATATTTTGACCCCCCTTTAAGTTTTTTGTTTTAAGAGTTATAAAAAAATGTGAAATACAAAAGTTGCACGATTTTTTATGAAGTTTTAAGTCTAAAAAATCTGAAAAAATTTATACGTATATTTTTGGGCTAGCTGAGTTCAAAGCCGCTATTATTTTCACCATTTAAGTACATCTAAATGTCGTATCAAGGTCATGTCGAGGTCATTTGTAGATCAAATCGAGAAAATCGGTCTAAAAAATCTGAAAAAATGTATACGTATGTATACGACTCCTGACCGAATGAGGCGAAAACATAAAGCAGGCTAGCCTGTTAAGGCAATTTTCCGGTCAGTTAGGTAGAAATGTAAGCGTGTCCAGTCAATTAAGGCAAGGCGAGTGAATGTCCTAGCCAGTTAAGGCATGAACAAGAGTGTGTCCAGCCAGTTAAGGCAAGACGAGTGAATGTTCCGACCAGTTAAGGCAGGAAAAAGAGTGTGTCCAGCCACTTAAGGCAAGACTACTGAATGTCCCGGCCAGTTAAGGCAAGAACATAAGCGCGTCCAGACAATTAAGTCATGACGACTGAATGTCCCGGCCAGTTAAGGCAAGAACAGTAACGTGTCCAGCCATTAAGGTGAGATTTTCACCCCATTTACAACTTACTGTTTTTAAATTTTTTTTCAATAAATGAATCTCCTTGTTTAGCATACAAATTAATCGTCAGCTTTGAATTGTTTACGTTTAGTTTCAAACGATCTTCTAATTGATTTTCTTTTATGTTCTACGTTTGTGTCTCTTTTTAAACACCAGCAATAGTCGGCCAACATATTCTTTCCTCAAACACCCTGATATCTTTTCTCAAAGTCACTCAGGTCCTGATGCATTCTTTCGCCTTGTTCGTCACTGAATGCCCCTAGATTTTCTGGAAATAAGTCAAGATGAGAATCAAGAAAGTGGAGTTCATTAAACATCCTAATTTTTGGAAATTGTTTACCATTGTTGCAACAATATTTTTGTAGTCGGGGCCTTTATTATTGCCTAAAAACTTTTTCGTGACCCCTAATTTTTTTCAGATTTTTATACCGATTTTCTCGATTAGACCTTCAAATGACCTTGATATGACCTTCAGATGTCCTTCAGGGGTGAAACTGACAGCGGATTTTAACTCAGCTACTCCAAAAACATACGACATATCACCTTGATACGACCTTTAAATGTCTTTGAATGGTAAAAATAGCAGCGGCTTTGAACTCAGCTACCCCAAAAACATACGTATGAATTTTTTCAGATTTTTTAGACCATTTTAGGGCAATTGACCTTCAAATGACCTTGAACCTGACGTGATGTTGACCTGTGTAATTATTATTGGAAGAAAACTACGATTCAAAAACATTGAAATAAACATAAGTATATGAAAGTGAAAGTGATTAATAAAAAAACAAGTTAAAGGTTTTTAAGAATAAACTCAAAGTTTAATTTAGTTTTGTTAGTAGAAGTAGAAACATAAGTAATTAATAAAAATACTGAATAAATAATAAATGTTAATGATGATTGTTAAGTATAATAGCATGTTTATATTTCGCATTGCAATACCAAAATTATGACTTTTTTAAGTTTTAGAAATTTCTCGAGAATTCGAGAATTCCCGGGAATTCCTAGTCGAGAATTCTCGAGACCCGAGAAAAAAAATAGGCCGAGAAATCAGAAACCCTA